ATTCTGAAGGTGAGGAAGAGTCTGATATGGAGTCTGGGAGTTCTGAGGAGGATCAACCAGATCCTTCCAATTAGAGGGATCATAGGACTATGCAGCTGTCAATATTAAGTAAGGAAGGGATCCCTTCCATGCAGACTTTCAAAGTAAAAGGCTAAATTGAATGGCAGGGGAGTGAAATAGTGGTGGATGTTCTAATTGACTGTGGTGCTACCCACAACTTTCTGTCACAGGGGCTAGTGGATAAGTGGGACATTCCTTATCATCCTCTTCAAGGATATAAGGTACAAATAAGAAATGGAGAGTGCATTCCTAATATGGGCAGATGCAATGGGCTAAGATTGAATATCCAAGGCATTCCTATTCAACAAACCTACTATCTATTAGGGTTGGGAGGTACTGATATTGTCCTAGGGATGGAATGGCTAATTGAGCTAGGGGACATGGAGGTGAACTTCAGAAATCAAGTCATTAAATGGCAAAAAGATGGAAGGAATTGCATTATCAAAGGGGACACATTATCCAATAAGGTGGAGGTTTTCTATGAAAACCATGAAGAATATATTGCAACAAACTGGTGTAGGTTACCTGATGGCTATGGAAGGAAAATTGGATAATCTGGAACACAAGGAGGTTATTGAGGAGACTTGGAGGAAGGTAATTGCTAAATTTCCTGAAGTCTTTACATCTGTTTTACCATTTGCCCCCTGCAAGGGATTGTGATCATGCTATCAAAATTAAAGGGGCACAGATTCCAAATCTCAGGCCATATAGATATTCGTTTTACCAAAAAATGAAATAGAGAAAATTATGGATGAAATGTTGTGTAACACTTGAGATTTAATATAAACGGATTAATAGTACTACTCATACCAACAAGGTGCATCTCCTTTTAAGGGAGCTCATCACCCAAGAACTCCAAAGTTAAGCGTGCTTGCACGGGAGTAGTCTTGGGATGGGTGACCCCCTGGGAAGTTTCTCAGGGCGCGCATGAGTGAGGACAAAGTGCGCGGTAAAGGCTCGTGGTGGTTTGTGGGGACAGTACTATTGGTCCGGAGTAACTACCTCGGGTCCCACGGGGTCGGGGTGTTACAGGTGGTATCAGAGCAACCCTGCGACCGTGTGCTGACCCGTTAGATATCGGGCGGGCACTTAGCAGGGCGCAACGAGGACGTTGCGTTCCTAAGTGGGGGTGATTGTAACACTTGAGATTTAATATAAACGGATTAATAGTACTACTCATACCAACAAGGTGTATCTCCTTTTAAGGGAGCTCATTAGCCAAGAACTCCAAAGTTAAGCGTGCTTGCACGGGAGTAGTCTTGGGATGGGTGACCCCCTGGGAAGTTTCTCAGGGCGCGCACGAGTGAGGACAAAGTGCGCGTAAAAGGCTAGTGGCGGTTTGTGAGGACAGTACTAGAGGTCCGGAGTAACTACCTCGGGTCTTGCGGGGCGGGGGTGTTACATGCTGAAATCTGGGTCATTAAGCATAGTAACAGTCCTTATAGTAGTCCTATTTTGTTAGCCAAGAAGAAGGATGGAGGATGGAGGCTGGAGGTTCTGTGGGGGCTACAGGGCATTAAATAAGGTTACTATACCTGATAAGTTCCGTATTCCTGTGATAGAAGAGTTGCTTGATGAATTGGGAGGAGCCAGAATTTTCACTAAATTGGATCTGAAGTCTAGTTATCACCAGATTAGAATGAAAACAGAAGATGCTCATAAAACAGCCTTTAGGACTCATGAAGGTCACTACGAGTACTTAGTTATGCACTTTGGGTTAACTAATGCTCCTTCCACTTTTCAATCACTTATGTATGAAGTCCTGAGGCCCTATTTGAGGAGAATTGCTTTGGTATTTTTTGATGATATCCTGATTTATAGTAAGACTGAGAGAGATCATGAAGGGCATTTGAAATTGGCGTTGGAGGCCTTAAGGAAGAATCAGTTGGTGGCAAATCTTAAGAAGTGTTCATTTGGTCAAGAACAGTTGAGTTATCTAGGGCACATCTTATCAGCTAAGGGAGCTGCGGAACCCTGAGAAGATACTGGCTATGCAAAATTGGGCTGCTCCTAAGGATCTGAAAGAACTAAGGGGATTTTTGGGTCTCACAGGATACTACAGGAGGTTTGTAAAAGGTTACAGCAAAATTGCTGCACCTTTGACAAATCTATTGAAGAAAGATGGATTTAAATGGGATGAACCTGCTACACAAGCCTTCCTTGATCTGAAACAAGCCATGATCTCCTTACCTGTGTTGAGGGTTCCCGATTTCAACAAGTTATTTGTCATAGAAACTGATGCTTCTGGAAGGGGACTGGGTGCTGTACTTATGCAAGATGGAGGCCCAATTGCATATATGAGTAAAGAACTGTCACCCTAGCATCTCACCAAATCCATCTATGAAAAAGAACTAATGGCTATAGTGTTGCTATACAGAAGTGGAGGCCTTACTTGTGGGCAGATTGTTTGAAGTGCATACAGATCAGAAGAGTCTGAAATATTTAACTGAGCAGAAGGCAATGGGTGAGGATCAACAGAAATGGATATCTAATCTTTTGGGTTACAACTTTACAATCAGATACAAACCGGGAATTGAAAACAAGGCAGCTGATGCTCTTTCAAGAAGATCAACTTATGCAGCTCTATCAACAGTCACTTGTCATGAATGGGAGGGATTGACATATGAGTTACAAAAGGATCCTAAATGTGGAGAGATTTTGCAGAAGATTATGGCACAACCAGAGCAATGCAGAGGATATTGACTGAAGGGTGGGCTACTGTATTACAAAGAAAGGTTGGTGTTACCTAAAGGAAACCCCGGAATCTTATCTATCCTGAAAGAATACCATGACACAACTGTGGAATGAAGAGAATCTCCACTGTATTCTTTTGGGTAGGAATGAAGGCAGACATCAAAGATTACATTTTGGGGTGAGATATCTGCTAGAGAAACAAGTATCAGGCTTTAAAGTCTGCAGGGCTTTTGCAACCTTTACCCATACCAGATCAGATATGGATTGGTATCAACATGGATTTTATTGGTGGCTTACCAAAATCTCATGGGAAGGATACCATTTTGGTAGTGGTTGACAAGCTGACAAAATTCTCACATTTTATACCCTTGGCACATCCTTTTAATGCCAAGAGTGTGGCAGAAATATGTTTTCAAGAAGTGGTTAAGTACTGGTTCAATACCAACTATCACAGTTCCTTGAAAAGTACTCCCTATCAAGCTCTGTTTGGTCAGGTGCCTCCCCCTATCATTAGAGGAGATGTGAGTTTGATTGCCGTTGAAGAGGTGGCTAGGTTAACTACTGAGAGAAATCTGATGTTGGATGAATTGAAGGAGAATCTAGCTAAAGCCCATAACTTAATGAAGCAACATGCCAATAAGCAAAGAAGGGAAGTAAAGTTGGAAGTGGGGGATATGGTATTCCTAAAGATTCAGCCCTATAAGATGAGGAGTCTAGTGAGGAAAATCAATCAGAAACTCAGCCCAAGGTTCTACGGACCCTTTGAGATTGTGGAGAAGTTGAATGAAGTAGCTTTCAGGCTTAAATTGGAGTAGGATACACCCTGTATTCCACATATCACTACTAAAGAAGGTGCTAAAGCCTAGTGTGATTTCTCAGAATCTTCCAAGTTGCCTCACAGAAGATTGTGAACTGCAAGTAAGCCCTGAAGCTGTGAGGAAGGGCAGAATTAATCAAGAAGGGAAGGAGATACTGGTGCATTCGAAGAATCTCCCTGATTTTGAAGATTCATGGGAGGAGGTGCAAGATATCCAAGATCAATTCCCAGAATTCCAACTTGGGGACAAGTTGGCTTTTTGAAGGGGGGGGGGTATTGATAGGAACCCGGCTACTAGTCTAGTTAATGGGGGTAAATTTGGGCAGGTGTAGTCGAGAAGGCCTAAATAGAGTAGTCTCGTTATTAGTTAAAGCTGTTAGTAACTAATAATCATCTTCCTTTTAGGGAAGGATATAAATAGTAATCCCTGTGCGGGAATAGGCAGGCTTGTTCAGACTGGGAAGTTAGAGTTCTATCTCTATCTTGGGCTGTTTGTAACAGATTTCTGCCATTAATAAACTTCTTTTGTGCTTGAATTTTCAGTTCTTTTACTGTTCATTCTTCGATAGTTACCTATCAGAAGCATACACCTGGATAAGAAAGAAGGAAAAAAAAGAAGAAAAATAGGAAAGGAAGAAGTATGGGGAGAGAGAGGAGCGCGGGAGCGATACACGAGAATTTGAAGAAGAAAGTTAAAGGCAAAAAGAAAATAAAGTAAAGAAAAAGGAAAAACAGAAGAAAGTAATGAAAAAAGGAATAATAAATAAATATGTGAAAAAAGCAAATGACTCGCTACATAAGGTAATCTTAGTAAATTGATTCAATTGATGCTATTTTAACAGTAGATGTATTTGTGTGATAGTTTTTTTCAGTAGAGGTGTTGAAGTGATGTATTTGGAATACTAGAATGGTCTATTTGACCCTTTTTCCTAATTAAATAAGGTAATTTGAGTATATTTTGAGAAGTAGATTTGATGGGTATATAATCTAATGAGGTCATTGATGATAATTATGAAGTTACAGGTGTATAATTTTTAATATTTGATGATTAAGTTGTCATTTAACAATGCTAATTATTTCCTATAGTAGAAATGGGAACCTTTAGACGGGACGTCCAAATAGTATAGTGAAAACCTTTACTTGGGACGAAGGGAGTACAGTACAATGATAATATTAGACATGTCGTGGGATGGTATCTGTCTATTTTCTTTGTAATTTGGTTCTTTATGGATAAAAATATATTTCTTCACCTTTCGAGAAATATACTTCGATGTCATATGTGGATTGCCGACTCCAAACTCTTTTGGAATGAAGGATTTGATGTTGATGTACGAGAAGTATGCTGCCCCTATGTGTTAGGGGGCTGAAAGGATTAAAACTTTGGATTATATGGGGAACTTCTAATGCTGTAATTTTCTTTTTATCACAGGGTATTAATCTACCAGCTGTACTTGAGTTTAGAAAAGAGATATCAAAACTTCCTGACATGGAAAGGTTGCTTTCCCGAACATTTGCTAGCAGGTGAATATATTTAGTGGTGTTGAATACAGTGACATCTCTCAGCTGACTTTTAATCATCTCTAATATGTTTCTCTTGATTGTGTGTTGAATTCAGTGAAGGTAATGGCAGAAATGCAAATAAAGTGGTATTATATGAGGATGCTGCAATGAAACAGCTACAACAGTTCATCTCAGCTTTAAAAGGATGTGAACTAATGGTGTGTGCATGCACTTCACTTGGCTTGGCTTTGGAAAACGCCGATTCAAAGTTATTACATGATCTCCTAACACCTGGTATGGCTCTATATTAACTCTTTGAATCTTGTCGTGATTTTGTTGTTATCATATTTTTCTGAACAATGTTCGCAGGCAAAGGACTTCCAGATGTTAAATTTACTCTAAAGCAGTTAAAAGATGCTTTTGATTGGGCGGAAGCAAATTGTTCAGGTCGTATCATTCCTCGCGAAGGGGTTGATGAGGAGTATGATGCCACTTGTGAATCCCTTAGGAGGGTTGAACTTAATCTTGTGAAGCATTTGAAGGAACAACGAAAGTTGTTTGGAGATGCATCGGTAAAACATGGTTATGAGTCTGAATTTTTGCTACTTTTAGTCCTCCGACTATTATGTCACTGACACTTTTGGCACTCAATTTTGATTCTTCCCACTTTTAGTCCTTTGACTAATGTTCAAAATTTCGAGTACTGATCAGGTCTGGCTACATGAAAATTATTTAATTGAACAACGCTATCAATACTAAATTCTTACCGCTGTTGCAGTGTAGACTGTAGACTACAACAATTTAGAAAGCAAGACTGATCTCTTTTGTGACGAGCCTCTAAATTGTTCTCAAATGAGCGAGCGTACGACTCCCTGATCGTGCTAATCTCTAAGAGAGTGGTAAAGCGTGTGAAGGTGTCCTAGAACAATTTAGATCTTTATTATATTATTTTATATGCGATTACAATCCTAGTGGCCATTCCAGGTTATAAATGATACTACGTAACAATTAAATTATCCACAATTTCACATACAAATTAAACAAGAATCATGCAATTAATCCATCAAGAACGAAGCCCTAGATCATAATAATGCCCCTTCACAAACCCCTAATTCCTTACCCCCTATTCATAATTGAATGAATAAAAGATTTACTTGTCATTAATAAAAAAAGAAATTATAAACAAACCTCAAAATTCAGTTGATTCAAAGCTAAAAACAACAAATAACTCGTCCAAGTCTTCTAACATAATAAAAGGGGTCTAAGCCCTCTTTAAATAAAAAATCCGGATTTGGACTGACATGTGTTCTCTATTACATAATTCAGAGTTGTCTCTCTATTCATTAATTGTTAGACTTGTCTCCCTATTAAATAATCATTTAGATCTCATACCGTGCTTGACTCGTGCACACATTTAAAATTCTGATGCGTCCTTGTGCATGGCGTGCACAACCTGTGCGCGACCCACATAAACTCTACCTTTTCTTTGCGCATGCACAGTTTCACGCACGACGTGGGTGATCCATGCACAGGTGTATATGCTCATTTCCCCCCCTTTTCATGCGTGCTTCAATGCCCGGGCGTGTTTCACGCACGGCGTGGGTGATCCATGCGCAGGTGTATATGCTCATTTCCCCCCCTTTTCATGCGTGCTTCAATGCCCGTGCTCAATTCTACTACTATTTCTCTTCACAAATGGACCTCCTAAGCGCAACAAACTCCCTTTTCACCCTTGAATCTCTTAAATGACCAGGAATCCATTCCACGAGTCTCCAAAAGCGGTGCCAGGTTGTATTATTCTTAAATCCAAGCTAAAAAACACCAAACACGACAAGAAACTTGGCAAACCATAATTTGAGCTAAATTAGCACTTTGTGATTCATTTTAGTCAATGAATATGTATAAAATTTATTTCCAACACGCATAAAATGTTTGTAGAAATATGGAATTATCGGTGTCTTTTGCACAATAGTTGAAGGACTTAAAATGAATAAAATTAAAAGTCGGGTACCGAAAATGTCACTGACATAATAGTCGAGGGAGTAAAAGTGGCAAAAATTCTTATGAGTCATATATAATTTTGTGAGACTTACTTAATTCCTCATATCTATAATTTTAATTCAGATTATTGGTATTATTTTGTGATACTTTTGTTTGATACAGATAAATTATGTCACAATTGGGAAGGATGCTTACCTCTTGGAAGTGCCAGAAAGTTTGTGCGATCGTGTTCCTCCGGAATATGAAGTGCAATCATCCAAAAAGGTGTGTATCTGGCACGTCTAGTTTGAATTATTTTGGTTTTTAAAGAGGAAAGCCAGTCCAAGATATCTAAACTTTTGAAGCTAGGCTTAAATTATATACATGGATCTTGGTAATAGGGATTGTTTTAGTGTTTTACTATTGAGGCATTGACTTTCAAATATTCAGAGATGTGGAGGGTGTACTTTTAATATTTTTTTGTTAGCTGTGGCATTAGAGTGACTTCATATTGTGTTCACTATTGCCAAGAAAGGCTTTACATGATTTGTAATTTTGTACTTCGTATATAAAAAATAATAGGGGGAATTTGACTTTGCACCCCACTTTTTGGATGATATTGGACTTTGCACCCTATTTTGCAAAAACTTTGATTTTGCACCCCAACACATAACATTTTGTAAAGAAAAATTAATGAATGGGGTGCAAAGTCAAAGTATTTTTAAGTGAATTGGGGTGCAAATTCAAAGTTTTTTTAAAATGGGGTGCAAAGTTCAACATCACCCAAAAACTGGGGTGCAAAGTCAAATTCTCCCAAAATAATAATAGAGCCAGCAGAAAACAGTAGGTCATTGGTTTCTTCTTGATGCGTGATTTAAAACTAAGATGAGGACCTCCTTACTTCCCAATATACAGTTCATTATTTCCTTCTTTGGCAGACTTTTATTCAACTTTACTTTCTTTCAAAGTAGAATCAGGTGGTTGACTTTTGTCAACATAAATGTCAACAACACAACCTCACTTTCTTAATATATGTGTCACCCAGTATAAACTTTATATAGGGACAAAGGGAGTACTATATACTGGAATCAAGGGACACAAAGAGTTACTATACACTGCATGTTCCAAATCAAGAATTCAAATTTGGATCAAGGCATGGTTGATGTTGCAATAAACTACGGGACATAAAAAGTAATCAAGAAGTTTCCTTTATAAAACTGAAATGTGGTCAGTGCCATTCATAATAATGATTTATATTAACTTGGAATGATAACATAATGCATGAGATCCGCGGGGGACAAAATAGCTAAGCTAATTCTAATGTTGCTTGTGTTTATCTATCAAATACTCAATGCTAGACCATAATCCAAAGGATAGAAGAAAAACACATAGTAAAAGTATGTTACTCATTTTCCTTGGGAAAGCTGCAATAATTCAGCATGTATTATCTAAATGAGTAAATCAAAACCTTTAACAGAGTGTTTGAGTGATCTAAATTTAACAATGTTTTTAGATATTTAAGCATCACACGATTTAACTAGTACTACCTCCGTCCCATATTGGATGTCTTGTTTTAGTTTGACACCATTATTAATAAAGTGGTTGAAACGTAAAAGTTGTGGATGAGATTTGAAAGGAATAAAGTAATATTATATGAACACATATTTCTTGCCAAAATAGGAAACAAGATATTCATTTTGGGACAACCCAAAAAGAAAAGTAAGACAACCAAAATGGGACGGATGGAGTAATGCCTAATTATTATTTGAGTAAAATATTGCAACTTTGTTTATCATGTAGCCTAATAGTAATGATACCAACAATGATTCTAATGATGTTTTTCTGATTTGGTCTTGTAGATGTTTGTTCAATGTGTATTTTACAACTGTCAATGTTTGGTATTGATAGAAACAGAAAAAAACCCTAGCAGACGGTGTTAACGTCTTAACGAATGCCCCAACCTTAGGCTCAAACCAAATCTTTATTCTCGATCCTGAATAATACTACCTCCGTTCTTTAATATTAGTCCTCTTAGGCTTTGTCACGGGTTTTAAGAGGAAAGTAGTAGGGGTAGTGTAAAAGGTGTAATGAGTATTGGGTAAATGAAAAAGTAGGAAAGAGAAAGGGGTAATGGTAATAAAAGTTGGGGTATAAAAGTATATTTAGAGTAAAAACTTTCCTTAAATGGAAAGGAGGACAGATAAAAAAAAACGTCCCAAAAAGGAAAGAAGGACTAATAAAAAAGAACGGTGGGAGTAGTTCACAAGACCTCCTTAAATACTCCTTAACCTAATAATAAAATATGGCCATCTAGGCCCAGCAACCTAATAATAAAATATGGCCATCTTGGCCCAGTAGTTTAAATAGAAATAACAATTGAATGAAATATAAAATAATAAACCCAGCAGTTAATCCAGCCCATCTAGGCCCGCTGGCGGCGACGGTAAACCAATAATGGGCAAGGCCCGTCCCCCTGAAGTAGCGGACCAGTTGCCTCCTCCTGGAGCGTCGGCCCAACTTCCTCCCGCTCTCTAACAGGTATGGTCTGTTCTGTTTAAGTCTGGTTTGAAATAAAAACCAATCCAATTTAAAACATCCAAAGAAACTCGAACTTTTATTCCCATCTGTTTAGCCCCTAAGTTTTTTCTTTGCCAGTGGGGCTCAACACATCACTTTGTTTGCTTGTTGTGTCAACAACATTACAAAAACATCCAAGCCTTAATCCCGAAAGATTTTGGGGTCGGCTAACATGAAACGATCCATGATATCAGAGCCAAAAGAGAAGAAAGAAGAATAAAAAATAAAGTAAGATAAATCGGATAAGATAAAGATAAATATAAAATGACAATAACATAAGAACATAAGAAAGATAAAAGATCAAAAGATAAATGTGTCAAGAACATTATCTGTTAAAATTAAACATATATACCTCAATGCGTTGAAAGCAACTAATGCAGAAGAAATGTTGTGGTTAGGCCGTTAGGGTTTTCAAGAATGAGAATAAATGTTGCGGTTAGGATGCCCAGTTTTATGAGACCAATGTGGAAATTGGGGCCCTTTTCATGTCCCATTTGGGGGCTTACCTTTGTGGTTGCCCTTGATAGTTACTCTCCTAAATGCCCAACTTAATCTGTCCCTTTCCTTTTCATTCTTGGTCTTCTGGAAATAAACTTGTTTACCTTTAAATAATGAATAGCGTGGGTGATTTTTTTCTTTCCTCTTTAAATAAACTTCAAACACACAATTTCACTTTTCTTATAAGCGTGCTACATCAAAACAAGTGGATTAATTTTTCTCAGAGGGAGTATTTTATAGAAGTGATGTGTGGAACTATGAAAGATCATTCTTGATACTATAACATTGGATACTCAGGGTTATTTCCGGTACCGCAATCCAGTTATTAAGAAGCTTTTGGTAGATCTTTCTGAGGCTGAAGCTGAGAGAGAGTTGACGTTGAAAAGCATTTTACGAAGGCTTATTGGGCGTTTCTGTGAGCATCATAGTAAATGGAGAGAACTAGTTTCTACTATTGCAGGTGACATTATGTTTCTTATATTAGTTGCACTCTTCTCTTTTTGAGTTCATTCTAGTCTATCACTGCTTATTAACGTGAACATGCTAAATAAGTTCATTATTTGCTCTTGAGGGCTCCTTTTGTCATTTGAAATTAGTAGTCTGTATTTTTTTGTCATTTGGGGAGTCTGGTAGGTCTGTAAACTTTCTCTCTCCCAATTTTTAGGTGCACTATCCTTTATTCTATGCCCCAAAATTATTTTCATTCTCCTTGCTTTCTCAGTTTTTCCTTATCCTTACATTTAACCTTTTTAGTTGTAGGCCCCATTAACCCTTTCCTTTCTAAAGGGTGAAAATTGTAAAATACCTATCTTCCTCCATTTTAGGCACTATAGGATCATAGGCATAGATTCAGATGTTCAACAATGACAACAACAAACCCAGTACCACAAAGGCTCTTACCTATGGTGGGGTAAGATGGGTCAGATGTACGTAGCCTTAGCCTAGACTGTCTTTGGATGACCCATGATCAAAATCACGTAAAAAATCGCATGGACTGATTGCCGCTTCATAACTATGTAGCGCAGACAATTTAGTGAGCCATTTTCCTTTATTTCATCATATTCCCAAGACAAAAAATAGAGAGTCTTTGATTCCATTGGAAATGATAGAAAATAGATTTAGATGGTCATCATCATCATCGTTACCCCTGTGTCACAAATGCTCCCACCTACGGTGGGTTAAAGATGGTCAGTTGTATTGTTGTGAACTGAAAAATAAAAATCAACGTGGTAAACCGTTGCCCAGGTAATCAACGATAAAAATTACCGTTTCCCAAAGCCAAAAGGCTAAAACCAATTTTATTCCAAGATGAGCAAGAATGAATCCTAACAAGGGGTTTACATACTCATCTACTAATTCTCAAACTAGAAAACAAAATCATAGAAATCCTAATCAACTCCAACTAGGAAACAAAATAATTAAGATTCCAATCAACTTCAAATAGGAAACAAATAATAGAAATCCTAATTAACTCCTAATAGGAAACAAATCAGGAAAATAAAAAAGAATAAATACTACGTATTAATTCAGCAGCCCGCAATCAGCCCGTTCCCGCCCCATGTTCTTCCTGCTCTCTATCAATTCATCCTCCTTCAAAATAACCTTGTCCTCAAGGTTGAAATCTCGCAGATTGAGGGCTGAATTTTCCACTTGTAGAATAGACTGGAAAATATCCGTCATCTCCTTTCGTACCCCCGATCTTTCTGAACCTTTTCCTTGCCGATTATCTCACAGTACTCAAGCTGCTGTTGGAGGTCTAACTCCTCATCTTCCTCGGCTATCATTACCCGCAACCCCTTAAAGGGGCAGTCATGTCCTGGTGTTAATGGTTTTTTACACCTAAAACATAATCCTTTCATTCGCAATTTTGCTAAATCTTTCGGCGGAAGTCGAGTGAACCGAGGGCGTGTAGTAGGCTGCTCGGACAGTCCTGACTTCGTTCCCGGGGGCTGTCCACTATCTTTCAAAAAGCTGTCATTCGCTCCTTGTATGCTGCCACCTCTGGCGGTCAACGGAGGTCTCGTGATTGGCATTAAAAAGCTGGTAGAACGTACCCCTGAAGGATTATAATTCGGGCTGCCACTTCCTCCATTCTGGACGGTCAGATTGTACTCCACATCACGAGCTAATTCCATGGCCTCTTCCAAGCTATTCGATCGAAATAAGTGCAACGAGCTTCAGATGGATTCTTTCTGTCCATTCATGTAGTATCCCAAATAGTGATCGTCAGTCAAAACTTGGCTAGCCAATTGAACAAACCCAAGGTATTGTAATCCTCCATAGACCTAGTTTGTTTGACGCCGGACAGTCGTTCAAACCTGTTCCCCTGAAATCGGGAATCAAATCTGGCCAATAGTGTTTGCTTGAATTCTTCCCAGATCATACCGGGTTTGCGTGCTTTCAGCCATGTTACCCAATAGAGGGCTCCCCCTTCCATGGCAACCACAACGACAACCACTTTTTTCTCGGGTAGGGTTTCGTTTAATTCGAATTGTTGTTCAACCCGAGCTATCCACCTGATCGGGTCTCCTCCATCAAACGCAGGTAGCAAGGTCGGAGCGGTGATGCACGGCAGATCGTCGCCATTGGATGCTGTCAACGACTGCACTGCCCAACCACAGCCGAAGAAGACGCCGGAGAGACCGGCGGCACCAGCGCCTGCGTCAGCGCCGCTAGGGAGGCGGTGATTTTAGCCAATATCTTGCCGTGATATTCCAGGGTGTTATTCATCCGGGTCTGTACAACCATTCGGTTTTGCTCGTTCTCCATCTCTGTCAAGCGATCATTCTGAGTTCTCGTCATCTTGGCGGGACAGGATCTGGCAGGTCGGACCAATTGTTGTGAACCGAAAAATAAAAATAAACGGGGTAAACCGTTGCCCAGATAATCAACGATAAAAATTACCGTTGCCCAGAGCCAAAAGACTAAAACCAATTTTATTCCAAGATGAGCAAGAATGAATCCTAACAAGGGGTGTAAATACCCATCTACTAATTCTCAAACTAGGAAGCAAAATCATAGAAATCCTAATCAACTCCAACTAGGAAACAGAATAATAAAGATCCTAATCAACTTCAAATAGGAAACAAATCAGGAAAATTAAGAAGAATAAATACTACGTATTAATTAAGCAGCCCGTTCCCGCCCCATGCTCTTCGTGCTCTCTATCATGTACGCATCTTTACCCCTGTACTAAAGCACAAAGAGACCGTTTCTTAATGGCTCAAGGTGAAAATTGCGTCAAAAATTGCATGGACTGACCGCTGCTTCATAACAAAGAAGCGCGTACAGTTTAGTGAGTCACTTCGCTTTATTCCATTCCATCATATTTCCAAGCCAAAAAATAGTGAATCTTTGGTGTGATTGTAAATGATGGAAAACATGGATTTTGATGTTCGAATTAGATAAATTCGATTCCTATAATGAAGTGTCCAATCTTGGCGTTCTGCCACTTAACATGCTTAGTCAGTTTTTTTTGATTTGGTGGATTCATGCAATTCTTATCGAAGAAATCCAACACTGACGTGTGTTTAGGGAACACCAAGAGAAAGGCAGCTTCCTGACCACAATGTGACAATGCGTTAGCAACCGAGTTTAAATGTGCATCTCAAAATTCTGGCGGCATTGTATTGCGAGAATTTGGAAACCAAATGATGTTGAGGTGAAGTGGTCAGACATTGTTGGAGTAAAAACTTCAAACTATAACGCCATAACAGTACGCATGGATAACTGGTTAAGAAATATTTGTGCCCATAACTTATCAGATATACTCTAAATAGACTACCTTGTAATATGTTTAGCTATTAATAGAGTATCGGTTTAGTCAGTTGAGTTTTGTTAATGACTTAACCAACTCTATATATACCTATACTGCTGCATCACTTGAGACAATAATACAATTCACATTTCTCTCAATTTCTCTCTCTGTTATCTTTCTAATATGGTATCAGAGCTTTAGCTCGATCCATCCATGGCTATTTCCGATGATTCCTCTCATACCTCCAACGGAAATTCTGGAAATTCCAGTTTTCCGGTCACCTTTGCACATCCTCTTCCGATCAAGCTAGACAGAAACAACTTTCTATTTTGGAAACATCACGTTGAATCTGTAGTTCGAGCGCACAAATTACTTCGTTTCATTGTAAAACCTACTATTCCGAAACAGTTCAACACTGATGACGACGAAGCAGCTGGAAATGTCACTGAAGCGTATTCCACCTCGGAGCAACAAGATCAAATGTTGTTTTCCTGGTTTGCCTTGCTTTCTGAGTCTCTTCACGCTCGAGGTATTCACTGCAGACATTCACATCAACTTTGGAGCGAAATCACCAATTTCTTCCAAGCGCACATCATCACGAAGGCCAGGCAACTCAAATCTGAGTTATATAACACTTCTAAAGGTGATCGCACAATCTCTGAGTATCTTCTGCGTATTCAAACCATAGCTGATAATCTTCTGTCGATCGGTGAACCTATTTCTGCTAAGGATCATATTAATGTCATACTTGAAGGCTTACCTGAGGAGTATGAGTCTTTGGCTTCTTCTATTTCATCACGGAGTATGTTAGATCCTCCTACTCTGTCTGAAGTAGAATCTCTTCTAGCTGCGAAGGAAGTCAGATTGAAGAAACTTCATGATTCATCACAGTCTACAATATTTTCTGCAAATGTTGCTCGATTGCAATCATCTTCTTCAAATACTTTTGTCAATGAAACTCCTGAATCTGAACCTTCAGAAGGTCCTTCTGCTCATGTTGCAGAATTCAATGCTCCTCCTACCACTGATTCCTACAGAGGTAGAGGCCGTGGAGGTCCTATGAGAGGTCGTGGTGGTAGAAATGGTGGTCGTAGTTCAGTAATATGTCAAGTCTGTGGCAAACCTGGACATCATGCTCTCATTTGCTATCACAGGTTCAATCCTTCATACACCAGCTCCTCTCAGTTCCCTGTAATTCAACATCAATATTCAACCAATTCTCAAACCTATCCTTCCATTCAAAGTCCTGCAGTCATCCCATATCAAACACCTTACCCTTCCAACACTTCAAATTATTCCAACCATAATTCACAACCTCTCATCTGGCCTCAGTAGCAATCCTACAACCATGTACCAATTCAGCCCTATAACCCTAACTCCCAATCATCAACTTCTCAGAATCTTGTGCCATTCCAAAATCAGAATACCTACACTCCCTCACTTAGTGCAACCTGGGCTTCTGCATCTCCTTCCATATTGGGACCACCTCCTCAGCCACAAACTTTGTTTCCAGATTTAGGTGCTACTCACCATGTGACAGCTGATCCAATGAACCTCTTGTTACAACTGACAAGCTCTTTATGGGCAATGGTCAAGGTTTGGAAATCAAGTCCATTGATTTTACTTCCTTTCCCTCACCTTATCAGTCTTCCTTAGCCTTATCTCTTAATAATATTCTACATGTTCCCTCAATTACTAAAAAT